CCCTCTAGAACAGGGGTAGGCAACCTAAGGCCTGGGGGCTGGATGCAGCCCAATCGCCTTCTCAATCCGGCCCGCGGACGATCCGGGAATCAGCGTGTTTTTACATGAGTAGAATGTGTGCTTTTATTTAAAATGCATCTCTGGGTTATTTGTGGGGCATAGGAATTCGTTCATCCCCCCCCCCAAAAAAATAGTCCGGCCCCCTGCTGAAAAAGGTTGCAGACCCCTGCGCTAGAAGATGTAGTGGCAGAGACTGAATGCTAAATATCTCCCTCTCCCCCCCCCCATAGCCCCTGGAATCCGACAGCAGAGAAGACCCTGATGGAGTTTCTTATGCTGCCCTGAACCACGGGGCCCTGAAATCCAAACAGGTACCCGATGCTGACAGGATCCCTGAAAGCTGTACTTACGCAACATTGGCCGAAGGCAGACTAAAGTAGGACTGACAAGCAGGACCTCTTAGGATGTAGAGACTTCTGGGACCTCGGCTGATCCTTGGTTTGCAGGGACATTTCTAGCAGGACAATGCTTCCTAGTAGAGCCTTCTTCACTGAGAGAACCTGCTGCTCCCACCAAAGAGCTGGGCACTCCAAATATGTATGTACTCTTCTTCTTTGACCACTGACTACCTCCTTTCCGTAGAGTTCTTCCTTAGGCTCCTGGCTCACTAAGGCGGTTTGCCCCTGCGGTTGAGAACATCGCCTAATCCAGGGCTGAGAATCTTCAGCACTACATTTTATCATATGTGGTGGACATCTAAGCCAATAAAAGTTTTCTGGGAGATGATATATAATGAAATAGAAAAAAAATGTTTAAAATAACTTCTGCTTTAAAAAAACCCCAGAAGCTTTTCTATTAGGAATTATAGGTACCGACATTTCAAAAGATCAGAAAAGACTTTTTATGTATGGGACAACAGTCTCTCGGATGCTATTAGCCCAGAGATGGAAAGAAGACAAAGTCCCTGGAAAGCTGACTGGAAAGCCCAGGAACCAAGAGGACAAAAACTTCAAAAAAAGAATGGAGTGGGGGAAATTATAGTTTATGTAGGAGACCACTGTAAAATGATGGATACATTAGCAGGATTTTAATCTCACTTGTAATGTAACAGATGCCTTGGATAACATAGATTGATACAAATGATAGATTATGCAATAATATGCAGATTTTAATGTTGATATTAACACCCATGGAGGGGGTGGGGTGAAGCCGTGAGATTCAGAGTAATCTCTATATATGAATATGAATATGTATTTGGATTGTTATACAGTGGTACCTCGGTTTACAACCATAATCCGTTCCTGTTGTAACCGGTTATAACCCAAGGTGCACTTTCGCTAATGGGGCCTCCCCCCCCCCCAAAAAAAGGGTTGTAATCCCCCCCAAAATGGGTTGTAATCCAAAAAAGGGGCCACACACTTCCGGGTTTGATGTGCTTGTAATCCAAAATGGTTGCAAACTAAGGTACCATTGTAATTCTATATTTGTAAACTAAAATAAAAAATATTTCAAAAAAAAAATCTTCAACTCTGTGGATTGAATACTCTGTACTCAGGTTCCCAAATGCATGTTTACACTGCCAGCCTTTTAAAAATTGTCTTTTTATTAAAACCTGGGCATCTATGCTTAGGTCTGAGCCAGGAGCACACTCAAACTGCAAACCTGCGTCTTCAGGCGGAGTGTTACCCCATCCAGCACAAACCGAATCCCTATTCCCTGTCCTGCCTTCTGACTGACTGTCAGGGGCTGGACTGGGGAGGACTGGTGGGGGCTGCTCCCCCTTCTCCTGAACCTTCCCGAGACCAGGAGGACAGTGTCGATTTAGAGCAGTGGTTTGCAGAAGGGCATAGTCCACAGTCTGCAGAGGGCAGAAGCTGGGAAATCCTAGAAGAGGAACAGCAGGAAGAAAGGGAAGCCGTGGGAGAGAGGCAGCCGACAGACTCATTGTCTTTGGAAAGCGTTCCTGAGCCGCCCCCCCCTCGCCCAGGACTAGGCGTGCTGCGAGAGCAGCTGGACAGAGAGCTGAGAGACAGAAAGCCCAGACCAACCGGCACGAGGATGACGTGGTATGAGAGAGACGAAGGGGGTGGGGCTTTACTCGGAGCGACACCATTTCTAGAGAGAGAGACACATCCCTTTGTCTCTGACTGTGATTGCTGAATAAACTAATTGGTCAGAACTCTTCTTTTCCTTTATCTGCTTCTTTGCTGCCACCATGGGATTCACTGAGGCCTTGACACTGACCAAGAGCACCTCAGTCTTTCCTGGACTAAGTTTGTTGGCCCTCATCCAGTCCTTTAGTGATGACAGACTGAGCTGAGAACCAAGAAAGCTGCTTTGGACTTGGGCAGAAAGGAGAACTAGAGCTGGGTGTCGTCAGGCTGCTGGGGACAAAAACCCCCCAAAGTCCAGGTGACCTCTCCCAGTAGCTTCAGGATAACATTTCTTTCCGTGCAAAAAAGAACAATAGTGATTGTTGCATTTAGTTGCTGTTTAAAATTCACAATAGGAAGCAGATTAAGACTGAAATCTTAACCCCACTTACCTGGGAGTAGGCCTCACTGAATGAATTAGGATTTATTTTTTAGGTTAGCATAATGTAGTTAGTGCAGGCCTAATGGATATAGGGTGCCTTTGGCAACAAAATACACTTCAGAAAAATAGGGGGGGGATACCAGTATATATCAATGAATATCTAAACAATTTATATTGCAGAGCCATTCATGTATCTATTTACACATATATGTGCGCCCTTATTTTTTTTAAAAAAGTCTGTGATAAAGAACAAAGATTGAAACCTTTCAGTGCAAGAGTCAGTGCCAGAGTGGCGGTTGAATGTATGGCTAGAAGGACATCCACTTGGTTGTTTGTTTTGAACAGATTCCCAGGATCCAATGCACAGTAGCATTATTTGGCACAATGCTTCTTGGTCGCTGCCTCTGGCTGACTCATGAGTCAGATGACAGATGATGCCACTGCTTCTTCCCTTTTAGTCTGGAATTTTTTCAGACTCGGCTTGTGACAGCTTTTTTATTTTTTGCCCTGTTCTTGCCCTCTTGGTTTCCACATGAGCCAGCTCCCCCCTACTTCTACTTCACTTGGATAGTTGTAGAGATAACATACTGAGCTACAAGGGCAATTTTGCCAGATTTCTCCCCACCCCGCACTGCACTTCACAAGCAGAAGGCGATGTGAAAGACTATGAAGGAGTCCATTTAGATTTCACAAGGAAGAAGGCTGAGCTGCCATATGTCCTCTTTTCCCCAGACATGTCCTCTTTTTCATGCGTATGTAAAATGAGAGTCATCAGAGCGATCCATAGTTAAAAGTAGAAGTCGGCAAATGTGTCCTCCGTTGTGGTCTTCAAAATATGGCAACCCTATGACACTCCCCCCCCCCCACACGTGTTTGAAATTTCCACCCCTACATTCCCCCCTGCCCAGCTTTCCTGACCCCAACCAGTTCTGTACTCTACTGAGAATTGTGCCTCTGAAGAACACACTTCCAAGAAACAGCAGACAAGAATCAGGGGGTGGTTGGGTAGAGGCTGTTTGTTTCATGGGAAGGTGGGACTTGGGCTACCTTATGTAGGGATGTCTATAGATGCTGGGAGAGGATAGGTTTATTAGATATTATCCTTGTTTTCTCATGTTTGTGAGTTCAACAGGGTACATTCCTTTGCAGCTTAAAAGGGAAACTTAGCTAGGCTAGTTTTAGCCTTTTAGTTTAAGTAATGCAGGTTGCTTCTGGATTATCCTGCTGTTTCCACCTTTTCTGTCCCTTAAAACAATAATCACACAAACAGTCTTGCAAAAGGTAAAAACAACATTTACTCACTCAGAGTATCTGTTGCAGAATAAGAGATACAGGAATTTTGTTCAGGCGGCCTTAAAATGGTAATTTAGTTAGACATATTTTAGTCTAGCTTAAGATGGAGTTTGAGCTACAGCTCAGACTTAGCAGCTCTGATTTCTGGATTGAAGATGAGATGAAGAGTATGAGTGAAGAGAGGCAAAGGAGAAGGTGCCCAGGTAAGGAGAATATATAGGGCCACACCCTCTCCCTCTCAGGGCACAGTGGGATCCCCACTTGCAAAGTCCTCTCTAGCAAACTTACAGGTAAACTCTGTGAGCTTCAGCTCCCATCATGGGCCCATCTAGCAAACATGAATCGTTGGTTTGACTGCATTGTAAATATCCCACACCTAAAAGCTGAACAGAGGCAAGTTGTAAAGTCCCAATGGGCTGCTCAATACTTGACTTTGCAATGACGTGTGACTGGCAGTACTGGATTTCTTTCGCCCTCACAATACTGCTGAGAATCCCTCTGTCCAGTGACATAGCATGGGTTGCTTGCGCTCGGAGCTGCACAGAGGGGGGTGGATGGGAGAGAAACGGACAGAGGACACATGCACATTCAACTCCTTAACATCGTCCATGTCACCCGGGAGATTGCAGCTGCAGAGATAAGAAAAGACTTTTTCCATTGACTGGAGAGGTCACTTCCTGGTTTGGATGCAGAAGCTATTTTCAAGAGAGCCCAGCAACGGAAATGCACAGCTGCATCGAGGCAGCACTGGGTGTTGAAATTTTGTGCCCCATACAATTTTGTGCCTGGGGCAATCACCCCTCTGCCCCCCCATGCTACACCACTGCCTCTGTCTCAGGACAACAGCTATAAAAAAGCACAGGGGATACAATCTATGCTAAACCGTGTTCCCCCCCCCCCAATAAATGCAGAAGTTTCATCTGTTCACTTCCGTTCCTTCCATTGTGCAACCCACAGTTGTGACATAATAGGAGATGTGGTTGATCAGGCAGGCTAGGGAGGGGACTATGATCATAATATCAATTCAGAGAGAAGCGATTTTTGCTGAGGATCCGCTGTGTAACAGAACGTTCCCGGATTTCAGCAGCAACAGCTGCCAACCAAGACTGTCGTTCAGGACACAGCAAAGATAGGAGCAAACAGGACTCCCTGCTAGCGGCAGAACCCACGCCATGAGGCTGTCTTCCAGCATCCTTCTTCTTGGTTAGTATCCCACCTTGCAGGATGGTGGGGGCAGAGCAAGTAGCCAAGGCGCTGTGGGGAGCTCAGAGGCCCAGCTTCAGATCCTTTTGCTCAGATGCCTCGCCTCTAACACAATCCTCTCCTTTCCAGGGTGTTGGCTGACCAGGCAGTGGCAAATGGCTAGAGGTGAGTTTGGGTCAACAAAATAATCCCAAGAGTGGGAGAGAGGCATAGGGCAGAATGGGAGTTCAATACCAGGGCCTCCCACAATCAAGCTTGCTTTTCTCACTACTGCTGAATGATAAGTGGTAGCTCCCACACTTTCCCTGTAGTGTGCAAGGATGACAGGTGCAAGTGCCCCACTCTCCTTTGTCTTTAGACAACCTGTGTCCATCTCAGTTGTCCATGTGTAACTCTGAAGTTTCTGTAGGAATGTTAAGGAAGGTAGGAGAGGATAAATTTATTAGATATGTTCTTTCCTCGCTCATGTTGGTGAGCATAGAGCAGATCACATTCCTTGCAGTAAACAACAACAACTATCATTATTATTTACTGCAAGAAATGCTATTATTATTATTATTATTATTATTATTATTATTATCCCCAGCCACTCTAGGAGGCTTCCATCAGAATATTAAAAACAGAATAAAACTTCAGACATTAAAAACTTCCCTAAACAGTGCTGCCTTCAGATGTCTTCTAAAAGTCAGATAGTTGTTTATTTCCTTGCCATCTGATGGGAGGGCGCCACTGCTGAGAAGGGTCTCTGCCTAGTGACGTTTGTTGATGGCTGGTTTCAGCCTTTTAACTAAGCAATCCAGGAGGCCCTTTGTGCAGACGCGATTCTTCCTGGTCATTTCCCTTTTATTTCCCTCTTAAAACAATAACAACACAAAGTCATCTTATTAAAATAAGAATAAAGTTGACTCACATTCAGAGCAGGCTTTAGCTGCAGCTTCAGTTTCATTTGCAGGAAAATGTAGACAAGGGAAGTGATGTCTCAGACGTACAACATGTGGCCTACATGCTTTGTTATGGATGAGGCTGCATATGAACAGCAGGATGAAGAGTAGGTCAAAAGAAATCCAAAAGAGAGATTCAAAAGAGGAAGATGGCTGTGTGCCCAGCCGTTTTATATGGCTTCACTTGTGTCACACCTATCTACCTGGTCACACTCAGAGGGAGTGGCTCCCAACAGGTATTGCAGGAAGTCCTCCCTTTTTGGAGCCACCTTCCTCTGTGTGTCCATTCTAGGAAACAAGGAATGTTGGACTTGACTGCTCTACAGTGGTGCCTCGCAAGACGAAATTAATTCGTACTGCGAGTATTTTCGTCTTGCGAATTTTTCATCTTGCGAAGCACGGTTTCCCATAGGAATGCATTGAAAATCAATTAATGCGTTCCTATGGTCAAAAAAAGTCCAAACAAAGCCAAATTTGGTACAAAAAGAGTTTATTAAGTGCTCTTTAAAGTCACACATACTGTAAAGAGCATTTCAAAAATTGAAGGAACAATAATTTAAGTTTCTAAACATGACAGAAAAGCATTTAAAAATCACCAAAGTGTACTGTACATACATTTTCTAAGATTCTGGGGGGACAACTCGAAGAAGGTTCCTCTTCCACTCTTTGCTTCTTGCTGAAGAACCTGTCCATGGTCTGCTGCTTCATCCGCCTTTTCAGCACCTCCCTGAAAGACGACATGACCCTCGTATCAAAAGTGTTCGCAAGGTCACATGTCAGGTCCTTGCCAGGGTGGTGCCACTGTGCAAAAGCCTGCACATCTTTCCACTTCTGGCAAATGTCCCTCAGTTCTTTGGAGGACAGCTGTTCCTCAGTTGCTTCCTCCTCTTCCAGTGAGGCCTGCTCCTGCGCAGCCTCTGCCTGCAGTTCGACCAGCTCCTGGGTGGTCAGCTCGTGGTCGTGCTCCTCCACCAGCTCGCTGACGTCCTCCTCTGTGACCTCCAGGCCCATGGTCCTCCCCAAGGAAACAATGTCCTGCACCACTGTTGACTCTGGTGCATCAGAGTCACTTGGTGCCCCATGGCAGCACAGCTCCTACCTTCGCAACCCCCCCCCCAAAAAAATAATCAGTGCTTCACATCCAAAAAATTCAAAAGCACCAAACCTCCCAGAAAACACACAAGCTTCCAGATTCTTGCAAACCCCTTCTCAACAATTCCCTGACCCCCCCCCAGCTACCCACCACACAGAAATCCAAACCCAGAAATCTTTTTTTTTTTTAACCACAGCAGAGTTCCCCAATGGTCACAAAAAATCATAAAAATGCAGAAAAAACACACACAAGCTTCCAGATTCTTGCAAACCCCTCCCCAACACCAAGTCCTTGAATTCCAAACACCCCAACACAAAATCCAAAACCCCCCCAAAAAGTTTTAAAAGTTTAACTTACCAAATGGCTGCAAAAGAAGTTTTGGAAAAGCTTCAAAAATCACCAAAGTCTTCAAAAACCTCAAAAAGGCTACCACACCACGTGCTATGAGTTGCTCCTTGAAGTCAAGTCGCAACTGCACCTCTTCAAGCAATGCACCCTGGGTATTAACGGTTTTAAGAAAAAGGAAACAAACTTGCAAGACGTTTTCATCTTGCGAAGCAAGCCCATAGGGAAATTCGTCTTGCGAAGCAACTCAAAAAACGAAAAACTCTTTCGTCTTCCGAGTTTTTCGTCTTGTGAGGCATTCGTCTTGCGAGGTACCACTGTATGTCTATACCCGACATTTCCAAGGAAGGTACCTGCTACCTTTTGGACTCGGTTCTCTTTTGACTCTTCCTCAAGCTACTGCATCTCTGAGTGATGATAGAGCTGCTTTTTAAAACAAAAAAACTTTGCTGACCAGAAATTTACACAAACCGATAGATATGGGCTGCATTGTAGCGGATCCCAAACGCCCCTCCTCCGGCCATGAATCAGATGAAAATTGGTGAGAGTCTTGGAGGATGACTTACGGTAATTCATTTTATGCCTGTTGTAGCTGTTGTAATACACTGTGCCGGATGTCGCAAGATTTGTAGGTGTGTGTTTTTTCTCAGACAGGCCTCAGACCCCCTAAATGAAGCTCATGGGCAGCCAGCTGCTCAGGGACCACAGCTTGATAACTCCTGCTCTGTTGGATAATGTCAAAGCAGAGTCATCCAGCACTGCCGTTTGAATTTTCGTACAAACTCACTCTATTTGATTCTCCAGCTGCAGGTGAAAGCCTCCTATTTGACAGGAGGAGGCTGTTGCAAGTGTTTCACCTTCAAACCACCTTCTCATTCTCTTTCTTGATCAGGACTATATACGGAGCCCTCAATTTCAGTGATTCCCAGTCCTAATGTCACCCTTGGAGGGAATTTCTACATCAACTGTAGGAGTCATCATTATAAAGCCACCTTTGAGCTCTTCAAGGGAGAGTCTGTTGGGTATGAGCGATCTGAGACATCTACAGCTTATACAGTGGATTTTTTCATTTCTGAGGCCAAACTAGAACATGGAGGAATTTATCAGTGTAGGTATTGCTTCTATCGCACATGCTCGCGTCTAAGTGACAGACTTTACATCAACGTAACAGGTGAGGGCTTGGCTTAGTCTCTGTGTGACAGTTTTACAAATGACGCTAAAATGGGTGTTGGGTTTATTCCATCTGCCAATCAAATGGGGGGAAAGTGCACTGATTGAACTATATAACTGAACTGATCAAAATATTTACCTATCAAAAGGGATTCTTTATCTCCATTTCTATTTAATCATTAGTATTTTGTTCCAGATTAAAATGCATTCTCTGTAACCAAAGTCGTAATGGAATGCAGATTGTGTAGCACACTATATAACCCCCTGCTCTGTACTCTATTTGTCACACACCCAGGTCCTAGTCAACCGACAAGGCAATGGACGTTACTATACACCCTGAAGCCTACAATGGGGGGTCCACAGCAATCCTACCCCAATAGGTTCTGTCCCTCTCCCAGGGCATCTCTGCTGTGCAGCTTGCCTTCCCTGACAAGTGTCACATCCCACCTGTGTTCTCTGCCAACTAATCTCCTGAGTAATGGCATACAGCAGTACCTCGGGTTAAGTACTTAATTCGTTCCGGAGGTCCGTCCTTAACCTGAAACTGTTCTTAACCTGAAGCACCACTTTAGCTAATGGGGCCTCCCGCTGATGCCATGCCACTGCTGCACGATTTCTGTTCTCATCCTGAAGCAAAGTTCTTAACCCGAAGTACTATTTCTGTGTTAGTGGAGTCTGTAACCTGAAGCATATGTAACCTGAGGTACCACTGTAAATGCATCCTATCAATATTCACACTCTGAATAGTATATGGTTTTCTATGCTCCCCAATAGCATTTTACAAAGCCAGCCTATTGTGTAAGATTAAAGGATTAAGCATCCCTCTTTTTCTCTTTCTCCCCCTGGATAAGCTTCTCCCAAACCTTCCATCTCAGTGAGCCCAGGTGAGGTGATTGCTCTGGAAGGAAATGCCAACATCCACTGTAAGACAGAAAAACAACAAGAAGCAGAGTTTACTCTACACATAAAAAATTCTTCAAATACTTATGAAAGCAAAAAGATGGGATCAGGAGAAGTTCTATTTCCTATTATCAATGCCAAAGAATCAGATGTGGGCATCTATCGATGTAGCTATTGCTTAAAGCTTGAGAACACTCAAGAATGCTCAAACTATAGTGATGAAGTACACATCAAAGTAAAGGGTAAGATCCTGTCTTAATCCTTGTATGCATCTTTTGCAAATTGCACCAATACTGGTTTTAATTTGCTGCAATTGTAAATGAAATTGGAAACGTGTGCTGGCTCCACCATTCCTTAGTTTTAAAAGGAGGTATCTCTCCCTCTTCACGTCACAGTTGGGTATCATTTCAACATTTGTAAATTATGGATTCCCTGATTTCTACAGCATCCTGCCTCTCTGTCTCCTGGCCCCACACCTCTCCAACTCCCTCTTCTGCCTCTAATTCTGAACTGCCCTCTGCCCCAGACTCTTCCTGCTCACTAAACCCTGTCACCTGTGTATGACCCTTCCTCCTCACAGTCGGCTCTTCCTCCCTCTGACCACTCATCATTGTCCCACCACCAGTCCCCTGGCTCTGAGCCATCTTCCCATGGGGGCTCCCTTGGGGAGTGCTGATGCCTCCCACCTCTCCTCTGCATCCAGACAGTCCACGAGTCTTTATAAAGATATTGAACAACACTGGGCCCTGGACTGGACCCTACAGCACCACACTTCTCAGTGTTTTTTCCCCCCCATTGGTGAGCGCTCTTTGGGTTTGGTCAGTCAGCCAGCTACAAATCCACCTGACAGTAGCATCCTCTACCCACATTTTACCAGCATCTCACAATAATATTATGGGGAACTTTGTCCAAAGCCTTACTGGAATCAAGATGTGCTACATTCACAGCACTGGGAGATGATTACGCAGAGGGTGAATAGAGAGCTCCATGAACTGATAGAAGGGTCTTTCTTGGGAGCTTCTGGGCCCTGCCTGTGGGGGGTTTGGTGAGCATTGGCAGTATTCTAACTCTAGGTGTCCTTTCATGGTTTTACAGGTGGGAATTCAAAAGCCGGACATACAATAGCCATGTGGGCAGGCATTGCTGCCGGTGTCTTCCTTTCGGTCCTCTTCCTGCTGATCCTTGCTTTTGTATTGTCCAGGAAAAGGAAAAAGGGTGAGTAAGCTTCTGGGTCAGTTGTTCTGCAATGGCTGAGATGAAGGCATGCATAACCGAGGTTGTAAATGCTCACTTTGTGGGAGCTGTACCACTTCAAGTTCCACACGAGAAGATTTTAGCCCCAGGTGTCAAGACAGGTTGCAATCTCAGAGAGAGAACGTTCTTCTTTTAAAAACAAGTTCATATGGCTGGACAGGCAGACTTGATGGTATTGGGGCAGTGCCTGGTGAAATCTCTAAAGCTGGTGCTGGGCCTGAGCAAAGGGGGAGTGCATTTCTTTATTTATGCAATATATATGTGATAAATAATAGCACAAAGCCAGCAGCACGCACACCATGTGCCAGTAGAAATCAATTCATCAGTTAAAATACTGACAAGTTAATACAGTGATCTAACAGAATACAGTGGTACCTTGGTTCTCAAACTTAATCCATTCCAGAAGTCTATTCCAAAACCAAGGTGTGCTTTCCCATAGAGAGTAATGCAAAATGGATTAATCCGTTCCAGACTTTTAAAAACCACCCCCAAAACAGCAATTTAAGATGAATTTTACTATCTAACAAGACCACTGATCCACAAAATGAGAGCAATAAACAATGTACTGCAGTCACACACACAATCAATCAATCAATCAATAGCTGAACTGGGTTCCACATGGTCACAAAAAAAGAGCCACAAAAACAAAAACGCAAAATAAATAGCAAAAACAGACAGACCTCAGCGTAACATTCAAAACGGAAGCGTAACACTCAAAATGGAAGTGTGGCACTCAAAACGGAGCACGTTCGACTTCCGAAAAAAGTTCCCAAACCGGAACACTTACTTCCAGGTTTGCAGTGTTTGGGTTCCAAGTTGTTTGAGTATCAAAGCATTAGGGAACCAAGGTACCACTGTAGTTATAAATTCACATGGTGGATACCATTTCAGCTATGATCCATTCCACATTAGTGGTGCTGCTGCTACTTCCTCGCTTGTGAGTCACACAATGCCGTTACCACCATGGAGTTATTCCACCACTCCCATCTCTTTATTTGAAGATTTTTCAGGCTTGTTTCATGTTTTTGTTGTTTACCTCTTGTGGCGTCCTTTCACTCTTGATTTGCATGTTAACCAGCAGTGCAGCCAATCAGAAGCCACACCTTGGTTTTTGAATGGTGCTGGGAGTTGAACGGACTCCCAGAATGGATTAAGTTTGACAACCAAGGTCCGACTGTTATATGGGCTAGTGGGGACAGAAAAACACCATCCATAACTTTACTCAGAAACCTATTGGGTGAAAAATCTCACAGTGTGTATCTCTGCTCTACAGGTTCTGTGGCCAATGAAAGAACTCAGCCAGCAAACATAGTAAGAAATATACCAATGAACAAAAACTTTTATGACTATGAATGTCCTGCCAACACTTTACAGCCCTGACATTCCAACTGGGGGGAGGAGGACTCTAATTCATTGCAACAGCCACTACCTTTCCAAGTAACAGGCGATGGCAGGGCTGATGTGATTTGGGGTGGGGTAGAGGGCCAGGTACCATCCTCCGCATGGTCTGTGCCCATCTCAGGTATGCCCATTTTTTGAACTGGCTCTTCCAAATTCCTGGAATTTCTCTGGACCAGGGATGGAGGACCTGTGGCAGATGTTGTTAGACTACATCCCCCATCAGCCATAGCCAGAGGCCATGGATGATGGGAGTTGTAATCCAGTAAGATCTGGAGAGCAGCAGTTTCTCCATTCCTGCTTTGTTTCCACTGTATGTAACTCTAGCAGACCAAATGTCAGGACTGCAGGCTACATCTCCTTCTTTTCCCCTCCATAGCCCTTGCAGTCTGAGCCTGAAGAAGACCCCGATGGAGTTTCCTATGCTGTACTGAGCCACAGCTCATTGAAAACCAAACCAGCACCCGATGCAGATGGGATCCCTGAGTCCTGTACTTATGCAACAGTGGCCCAACGCAGAACCAAGGAGGGCCAATAAGAAGGACATCTTACAATCCAGCGACTTCTGGGACCTTGGCTTATCCCCGAGTGTTATGGACATTTTGCTTATTTCTAGCTTGCACGACATGGGAGACGAGTTTCATAAGGTGGCCTTATTCACGGAAAGAAACTATTGTTCACAGCTAAGAACTGGGCAGGCCATACATAATGAATTTTAAAAGATGTTTAAAATAGCTATTCCCAAGAGGCCTGAAGCATTCCCCACCCCCCAGGGATGATAGGGGCAGAGGTTCCTAAAGAGATGGTTAAGTTGTTTATGTAACCTACTACCGCAGACGGAATCCTGTATGCGCAGAAGTGGAAAGAAGAGTGGGTGTTAATGGACTATGCAGAGATGGCAAAGCTGACAGCAAAAGTAAGAGATCAAAAAGATGGGAACTTTGTCGGAGAATGGAGGTTCTTTTCGGACTATCTGAGAAAAAGCTGTAGCCCAATGAAATCATGAGCAGGATTTGGATAATAGGCAAGGGAAGGTGAATAAATAAATGATTGTAATGTAAGTTATAATACAATAGAAAATAAAAGGCCGGATAAAATGTAAGAAATTATGATATTGAAAGTGAATAGAATAACGTCAAGTTTTGTGTAAAAAAACTAATAAAAATTTATTATAAAAAAAGAGAATGGGGCAGCTGCTTTCACGGCTGTGTTGGAAGACCACATCCTTTCTGCAGATTCTTCCTTACTGTTGGTAATATGGAAAGAGGCCAAAATAGGGGAGGGGGCCTCACTTCCGGGGCCTGGGTGTGGCCCTTGGGGTTCTCCATGGGCAAGGATCCTCTGCACCATCTTGAGGGCTTTTGCCTGGCTGGATAGTGTCTTGATGTAATATTGCCTCCTGCTTGCCAGAATCGGGGCTAGAGAAGTGGGATGTTGTTAGGGACCGTGCTGAAGAGGGCTACAAGGGGGAGAAATGGTAAGAGCCTACCCTTCCCCCTACTAGTGATCAGGATCCTGACTCTTCCCAGGAGCAGGAGGACAGTATAGATTTGGAACAGCAGTTTGCAGAGGGACATAATTCAGAAGGCAGAAGCTGGGAAATACCAAATGGGGAACAGCTAGCAGAAGTACTGGGAGAGAGAGAGTTAACAGACTCAATTTCTCTGGAAAGTGTTCATACGCCCAGCCAAGGTCAAGAAGAGCAGATAAGGTGGCAGCACAGAAAGCACAGTGGTCACAAGATCTGGTTATAAGCCACGGTAGTGACGTTGAGGACTAGGGAGGAAGTGGGGGGGACCCTTAATTGGGAGCACCTTCATTCCAAGGAATGGATTCTTTGTTTTCTCTCTGTGATCATTAAATATCAAACTGGTAAGAGACTCCTTTCTCTTTGTTCTGCTTATCTACTGCCAAAGGGGGCAAGGTGGAAGCTCCTTCAGGTACACAGGGCCGAAGCCGTAGTCTTTCACTACTTGATTTATTTATTTGGAAAAAATTATGAACTCTGTGAATGTATAACAAATCCCTCAGCAATTTACATTGAAAAGTATAATTATCAGTGATATACGGATAAAATCAACATATTTATAAAATGAGCATACATAGCCAATTATATGCCTGGATATTCTTGCTGAAATAGAGAAGGTTTTTTTCAAACTAGTTTCTAAAACTAGTAACTCTAGCAGTTACTAGGGTGTCTGCCTAGTGTTAATAGAAGCAGTGAAAGATCCTTCTGCTTACCTCCCTTGGCGTATCCAAAAACACATGATCTTATTTATGCTGATTTTGCAGAATATGACTGCAGTGTGGAGGGGGGGAAAGGGAAGTGGTTTGCAAGGCACTTCCAGTGCTGCTAAGTTGTGCATTTTAAGTACATGAACTTCATGGGCAAGAACTGTGTTGCAGAGCCTTGTTGCATTTCAGAACTTGCGGCCTCCCTCGAAGATCTTCATTCTGGGGACAGCACACATCTTGGGGGACACAGGACACTGGACTACAGGGCTAGGCGGTCCTTCATCATGAGGCTCTCTTTCAACATCCTCTTTATCGGTTGGTATCTCAGATCAAAGGGTGAAGGGACTGAGGGTTGTGCAACGGCCGGGTGGAGGGACCAGACACCCAGTTGTGGTTCCTGCTGCTCAGCTACATTGCCGCTAATGCAACCATCTCCTTTCCAGGATTCCTGCTGGCTGGACAGTGGCAGATCTCTGGAGGTGAGTCTCCTCAGGTGATAAATATGAACATGGGGCCAGAGGGAGATGGATGGGGGCAGAATGGGAGCAAACTGTAATGATTTCCCCCCCAACCAAATCTGATTTCCTGACATCTGCATGATAACCACAGAGGCCTACCAAACGTTCTCTGATCTATACAAAGATTAAATGTACAGGAACATCCAATCCAAATTGATTTCGAGGTTAACTTGAAGGAATAAAGCCCTCAGTGGCTTGAGACTCGGGACCTGAAGGAATGCTTCCTGCCATGCTGACGTATCTGAGGACTGAGGACTGAGATTAGAAGGGATGCGGAGGATGATATATTCCTGCCATTTTAAAAGCACTGTGTTATATAGACTGCTGGTGTTTGTTTCTTCTTTTCTGCAAGTCACCCCGGAGAGAGACATAGAAATCTCCCAGTATGTTTCCAAGCACAATTCAAAGTGTTGATGTTGACCTTTAAAGCCCTAAATGGCCTCAGCCCAGTATACCTGAAGGAGCGTCTCCACCCTCACCGTTCAGCCCAGACACTGATGTCCAGCTCCGAGGGCCTTCTGGCAGTTCCCTCCCTGTGAGACATGAGGTTACAGGGAACCAAGCAGAGTGGCGCCCACCCTGTGGAACGCCCTCCCTTCAGATGTCAAGGAAATAAACAACTATCTGACTTTTAGAAGACATTTGACGGCAGCCCTGTTTAGTGAAGTTTTTAATGTTTGGTGTTTTATTGTGCTTTTAATTTTGTTGGGAGTTGCCCAGAGTGGCTGGGGGAATCCAGTTAGATGGGTGGGGTATAAATATTATTATTATTATTATTATTATTCAATTTATTCAACAAAAACGGGTGTTCTGTGGACCTTGACCCTCTGATCAAAGCTTCGGTATCCCCAGAGCATGCAAATGTCTCCCACCTTTGTAGATGTTCCACCTTCCAAATCTCAGCCTTATTCTCCTTCTTTGATCTAGGACAATATAACTCAAAACCTTCCATCTCAAAGGGCCCCATAAATGTCAACCTGGGGGGAGATATCAACTTAGAGTGCAAAAGTGGCTACCATCAATCTGCACAACACTTTCTGTACAAAGGAGATTCAGACCATTCTGCTTCAGCAACTCAGAAGATAGAAAAGGATGCAATTGTATTTCACATTTCCAATGCCAAAGAATCAGATGGCGGAATCTACCGATGTAAATATTGCCACAACGAAAACATGTGCTCAGATTTCAGTGCTGGTGTCCAAGTCAACATAAAAGGTGAGAGCCAGGCTGAATCCTGATACGCCGTTCCCCCAAATGACACATAAAATGAGGCTTTATATCTCCCACATGTATAAATCATGGGGGGGGGGGACTGCTTTTACTAAAGCAACCTTTGCTAACCTGGTGCCCTCCGTGTGTTTTGGTCTACAACTCTGTATGGGCAATTTATCCGGAAGATATTTGTATTTTGAGGAGATAGTGCTCTAACATGGTTTCCTTTCCTGCCTCTGTTTGCTTCCCCCTCTCTAAGCTCTTTGATGGCTGAAGAACATCCTTTAATTTCCTAGTCCTAATCTGTTGGAAGGAAGTGATATTGCTGGGTACCTTCTTTTGATGTTGGACATTGCTTTAAGAAAGTGAGGTATTGGGAGAGGTGGCTAATGAATAATCTGTACGTAGCTAGTAGCATGTAGGCGGTCAGGCAAACCACACAGGTTAGCTATCTATAAATTGGATAAATGGACATAAATCTGACATCAGGAATCACAAGACAGAGAAACCAGTAGGAGAACATTTCAACCTCCCAGGACATTCTATACAAGATCTCAAAGTAGCTGTCTTATTACAAAAGAATTTCAGAAATAGACTGGAAAGAGAAGTTGCTGAATTGCAACTTATTACCAGACTTAAAACCACGGAGAGACCTGGTCTGAATAGAGACATTGGATTCTTATCTCATTACAGTGCACCTTGGGTTACATACGCTTCAGGTTACATACGTTTCAGGTTACAGACTCCGCTAACCCAGAAATATTACCTCGGGTTAAGAACTTTGCTTCAGGATGAGAACAGAAATCACACGGCAGCAGCAGGAGGCCCCATTAGCTAAAGTGGTGCTTCAGGTTAAGAACAGTTTCAGGTTAAGAACAGACCTCCGGAACGAATTAAGTTATTAACTCGAGGTACCACTGTATACATGACAAAGCTATTTTTAGCCATCCCACCCCTTGCTTTTTCCTGTAAGAGCAATTGCAGTCGTCAACAGTCGTCAACAGGTTTACCATCACCCATTCCTGCCACCCTTCTGAGTAATACCCCTCCCCACCCTCTCACTATATATAAGGGTCTGGTGACTTCTGTTTCAGTGTATTTGAAGAAGTGTGCATGCACACGAAAGCTCATACCCAGAACAAACTTAGTTGGTCTCTAAGGTGCTGCTGGAAAGGATCTTTTTATTTTGTTTCGACTGTGGGCATAGTGTTAGGGAGAAGCTCGTGCACGGACTGACGGCCGTGGGGCCGTGCAACCTGCGGCTACCTGGGGAGGTGGTCACTTCACCACTTCTTTAGGGTTTCCAAGTAGCAGATTGAAGTGCTTGCTTGGTATGTACAGTATTTTTCGCTCTATAGGACGCACCAGACCATAAGATCGCAGCTCAGCAATCCCACTTGCTGTCCCGGCTTATGGGATAGCCGCGCACAGCCTCTCCCGGGCAGCGGGATGAAGGCTCCTGTTGCCCGGGAAAGGCTGAGCGTGGCTAAGGCTCCCCCAAGAGCCGCGCTCCCTTTAAAGAGCGCATGGAGCGTGTGTGCGGCTCTTTAAAGGGAGTGCTGAGCAGAGCCTC